TGTGGAGAACAGCAGGAAGCCACAGGTGAAGGGGCACACACCAGCTGGCTGAGAGATGCCAGCCACAGCCCCTGAGCATCACAGAGGTAACAGTGGGCACTGGCTCCCGGGCCCGGAGCACAGACTGCTCAGCGCAAGACCCCAGTGGGGAAGGCCACCTCCCACAGTAGTTTGGCCTTTACAACATGAAGCATAGTTGCATTCATTATCCTTTTTTTCCCCTTTAATAATAAAAAAAGAAAACCAAAACCTTCTATAATTTATAAGCTATTTTTTGCTATCTACATTATATAGAAAATATAGACTCTGTTTACTTTATAACACACATTTTTTTCCCTTGATAAATAATTCTTTAAAATATCTAGTATACATGCCTTGACTTTTTATACATAAGTTTGGTTTTATACATATACATACATATATATACTCATGTTTGTGAAACACAATAAATATATATTCGACAATGACAACCAAACAAATGCAATTTTGGTTAACAAAAAAAAAAAAATGAAGTCCTGTAAAAGCACCAGGCAGCAAACAGAAAGTTACAATTGCTAGAAACTTCTCCCTCCCCTGGGCAAGGCACAGGGGCCGAATACTAAATGCATTTGAATGCCTAAAAAAGATGGGAAGCCAAGAGGCTGGTCAGGTCACTTGCTTTTGTTTTGTTTCTTAACCTGGGATTAGACTAGCATCACAAATAAGCTATTGCATTTATAAGGAGAAACCAAGGGCTCATTCAACAACTTAGCCGTTGTGATGGCTGCAGAGGACAGCAGAGGCCTGGACAGGGAAGGAGAGAAACAGAGATAGCGTGATACCACGGTTATTCTGTAGACCCTGGCCACCTGCCCAGGTAAGCTTTTGAATGCCGCACTAAGCACAGAGCCAGTTGCACATGACATGGTCTTGTCATTCTTCTACTTGCTGCTGGTGTGAACAGAGAAGGGTGTAACAGGTTCAGGAGTATTCAGTAGTGCAACACTTTAGTAGCCTGAGAGCCAGACACTTCAGTGGCCCTCCCAAGGGCCCCAGCAAAGAGGGACTGTGATGTGGGGAAGAAAAAGGTCAGTAGGCCACCGCTTCACGCTGCTAACCTATGTGTTCACTCAGATCTGGTACTGGCTTCACCTCCAGACACCAGTGAGGCCATTTCAGCCCAACACTTTTTAAGGCAGCAGAGGGGGTCTTCACTCCTCTTATGAGAAGTCCTGGAAGCCTGAGTCAGTCAGGGCTGTCCTATGAAACCAACCATTCCTCATCTGCCCGCTTCTCTGCCCAGGGTGGGCAAGCCAGCTGCTCGGAAAGACAGACGCACAGAGCTTTTCTTTCACTGCCTTCCTCCATGTCCCCAAAAGGGAATTGAGGTGCGGGGTGCTGAGAGTTGATTTTTTAAATGAGCTCCCCAATGTCACGGCCTCTGCCTGTAAACTTCAGGGCTTTGATGGCCAAAAAAATTTGGCGGTGGGTGTAGTAGGGGTCCTAAGCTGCATCTATACCTAGGAGAGATGTAGGGGGGTATAAGGACAGATGGTCTCAGGACGTCCCGAAGGTGCACATCTGAATTTATGCTCCAATCCTTGCCAAATACAATACAAATCAGAGATAAGGGTTCACATTACAATCACAATGGGACATTTTAAACAGCTCGTTTTCTGAGTACATTCAAGACATAAATGAGTTTCTAGGAAATTGATTCTGCAGCAACAGCTCAGGGAATACAGTCCGTTGCAGGTCTGACTTCTAATTGCAACTCTTCCACCAACTAGCCATGGGACCTCAGACGAGTCATCTCACCTCTCTGAGCCTCTCTTTCCCTACCTGAGAGCTCTGAAGTTGCTGTGTGAGGCAGGATGTGACTTAGAGTCAGAAAACTGGGCTTCTAGCCTGGCTCTACAAGAAGTGGCGTGACCTTGGCCATCGCTTAACCTGTTGGTGGATGTGAAATAAAGGAACTGAAGTCGCTTCAGATGCAACTGGACTTACTTGCTCCCAAGGATATCATCAGCCATGCTAAATGCTGCTTCCATACCCACCAGAACAAAAGCAATGGAATCAGAAACCTAATGTAAGACCACAGGTCAAATTCAACAGCTGCGGCTATGGAACAAAATAAAGAGTTAAGAGAGTATGAAGGTCCAAATGCAATGCACAGCTAAAATCGGAGTCACGAACAACTGAACTTAAACAGCCCCACTCCCTGAGAAAAGGCATGTTCCTATGTTATACTCTGACTACTGAGAGGAAACACCAAGGCCGTCTATAATAATCGGCCTACAACATTTTGAAAATCCCCAACCCTGTGGTGTGCGGCATCACTTACAATCAAAATCAACATCGGAAGTTGATTTTCAAAGAAGCTGAGTGATGTTTCCGTCTTGGAAGGGGAGGAAAAACTACTACTTCCATTTGCAGCTCTGTACGGAAACTTCTGGCAGAACCTCAGATGTGGCATCCTGCTCAGCAGGAGGGTGTCACAGAAGTCAAGGGGAGGCGCACACAAGTCATATTCTGTTCTAATCACAGATGCTCCACAGGGCGTGAGAGCAGACTCGGCAGTGTCTAACAAGCAGTGCTTTCCTGCCCAGCAAAAAAGACCAAGACACAAACCTTTCTTCTTGGGAGGCCACGTGGTTTGGAGGAGAAGGAAGGTTTGGGATTCAAGTGATCCCACTTCTGCTTAATCGTTGTGTAACTCTGGGCAAGTCACTCTTCCTCTCAGAGCCTCAATTTTCTCATGTGTAAAATGGGTTTAACAATATAATGGGGTTGTTTTTATGGATTGAATGACATCATGTATTGAAAATACTCTGTACACAGTGGATATCAAGAACTGTCGGGGCACATGGATGGCTGGTTAGCTCAGTTGGTTAGAGCGCAGTGCTCATAACACCAAGGTTGCCTGTTAAATCCCCACATGGGCCACTGAGTTGCGCCCTCCACAACTAGACTGAAACAACTACTTGACTTAGAGCTAATGGGTCCTGGAAAAACACACTGTTCCTCATTAAAAAAAAATAAATAAGTGTTGGAGCACAGAGTACCTGGATGGCTCTCTGCAGAGAGGGAAAGGCTCTGGGAGAAGTTCATCTTGAATTGGAATCAGCCAAGCCTGCCCCTAGGGTCCAGGTTTAACTGACAGAGGTATCTGCTGCCAGGTAGGCTAAGGTGTACCTGTGTCCCCTGCCACACCCCTCACTGAAGGAAGAACTTCTGAAGAAGCTTGCTGTGGTCATGGACTGTCTCTCCAAAAGAATTCCAACTTTCCAAATAAGCCCAGAACATGCCCAAACACATGTGGATACCAGTGTAAGAACCCCTGGCATACCCCTTCTTTCAGAATTTGGAATTCAGGACATCCACAGAGGCATCCAGCAGCATGAGCCAAAATTTCCTGTATCAGAGGCATCCACACAAGGATGGCAACAAATCAGGCACAGGGCACTCAATGTGATGGCCCTGAAGGGGTGCCTCCATTGCACCGGGTCCTTGAAACCCAGTAAACAAACCAGAAAGAGCTGGATTAATGCTGGGACGTGTCCAAGGCCAAAGTCAGCTGATGGTTCTCAGCCCACTGAGGGCAGGATTAGGTGCTGGATTTTGTGCCAGCGAGCTCTGTTAAAAGCTTGAGATTTTAGCTTCATATTGTAGCTCCCAATCAAGCCTTGGCCAGTGGTCAGACAGGAGCAACAGGAGCACTAAAGAAGTATCTTAAACCCATTTACTATCATTTTTGAATAAAAAAATGAACTCTCTCGATCTTCTCTTCCTGTCATTCCTGCATCTACCTACTAGTACATGCATTTCAGTAGATAACATCTGAGTACACTTACTTAAATACTGCTCATGCTTCTTTTAAAGAATATATGTTCTTTCTATATACCCCAGTCTCAAATAAGAATTTAAGTTTCAGACATTGAATATTTATCACAGAGCCTAGAGGCCTTTGAGGGAAAAAAAAATCTCCCAACTATTTTGGTTAAATACAGAAACATAAAATTGAAACCCCAGGAAAATCCCTACTTAGGTTAGAAACTACTTAGAAAAATGAGACCCATTTTTCTAGGAAACTAGAGTCATCTAATTTCCTTCATTCTTAATCACAGTCTTTCAGGCTAGCTAGGAAAAAAAAAAGAAAATTCATTCCACTCAGTTCCCACAAAAGCTATCCAGAGGGCAATTTAGGAGAAACAGAACCAAAACAGTCGACGGCATGGCCCTCTGCTCAAATTATTACTGGGAGATCTCTGTTCTACCAAATCTCTAGTTTTGAACTGATAGCTAGGAAAGCTAGCATGTCATTATGAAGTTTGAAAACAGGCCAGGGACCTAACGTACCACGGAGAGCTTCAGCTGACTACTCTTACCATGTTGCAGTAAGGCCCCTGGAAGGGGAAGAATTCTTTCTAGGAAGGCCATCCTCACTCCTCTGTGCTATTCCCATGGTGTTTTGACATGCCCACAACTGCACCCATGGGCAGCCTGGGCTTCGTAGTATACTGACCCTAGGAGGAGAATGGAGGATGCAACTGATTTATGTTGTTTATTTTTAGATTCTGCCTATTCAGAGCGTGGGGGTGGACTCTTGGCCCTTTAAACTCCCTTTTAGTTCTACTGCCAATTATCTGAAAAGAAGTCGAAACCTCAGTTGTGTGCCAAAGACAACTGTTGGATTTCTGTGAGCTGTGGACAAAAGCTATGTAGATTTATAAGCGCTAGTCTCCACATCCAACTTTGACAAAAGTCTTTTGTGGGATAAAGGGTTAAGAAAAGATAACAAAAGGATGATGGCCTGTTTTCAAAATGTATTTGACTTGGTCTTTCAAGACCGGGTCTGAATTTTTAAGAGCCATTTTAGTGACATTTGGTGGTAGTAAGCATTTACAAGTGTGTGTGTGTGTGTGTGTGTGTGTGTGTGTGTGCGCGCGTGTGTGACTGTGTGTGTGTGTGTGTGTGTGTGTGTGTGCGTGCGCGCGCGCGCGCGCGTGTGACTCTGTGTGTGTGTGTGTGTGTGTGGTTGTTCCCTTTTGGCACTTCCTGCAGAGCCTGCAGGATGCCATCTCCAATAAAAGCTCTGCAAGCAGAGGGTGATAAGACAAGAGAGACAGGAGACCAAAGAGTAGAATAATATGTTTTCTTTAACATTAGCTTCTCAAACCCTACATAAAGATATACCTGAGAGGCTTCTAAAATCCTATTTTAGAAACACTGGAAATTATGTTCCTTGATGTCCTTTTGTTTTGTTAATACGTATTAAACCTTTTTCAGATGTTAGAACTGTGAAAGCAAAGGCCAAAGCTAAGGAAAAGAGCCTTGACTCCTTTTCGTGGGGTGGGAGGAAGAGGATTATATCTGAGTGGAACTGAAGAATTGGCTTTTAAATCCACAAAGCTGGGTGAATCTCCTAAAAGCCCTTCCCCAGCTTGGTAGGAAAGATGGGTGTTTGAGCACGAAACAAGTCCAGGGCTGGCTCACTTTTTTTCCCTCTGCTGGGGAACTCGCACAGCAACACTGGGGCACACAGCTGTCTCCAGTTCTTGAGGGCAGCATATGAGCTTGGAGTCAAACCCACACATCCTGCTGTCTCCTTGGCCCTGCCTGAAGAACCAGTTGAAAGGACAACCTCAATGCTTCAGTACTGAATCCCTCTTACACTCAATTCACTCCACCCAAAGTAGTGTTATAAGGTGGCTCCTTATAGTTTTATAATTGCTGGAAAATTCAAAGAGATATTTTATTCTCGGCCTCATCTATTTCCATGTAAGGTGTGTTGCTGCTCTCTCCTTTTGGGTGAAAGAACCTGTCTCACGGCTGGCCATTCCTGGCACTCCCTTACCCGCCTCAGGCCAGGTGAAAGAGAGTGAAACCAATTAGGTTCACTTCCTCATTGTTTTTACTATGAGGAAGACCAATCAATCAAGAAAGTACTTTGCAGTCAAGTACTTTTCCCTTCAGACACTTAAAGTAGCTTTCCTGGAATGTGAACTTTGTCATTAGCCCCACTGCAACCCCACCTGTCCCCAGACTAACAGGCTTGTGTGGACTTGTGAGGATGTGCTTTCTCCTACCAGGTGTGTGTGTGGGGGAAGCCCACACCAACTGAGCTTGCCATCAGATATGGAGACTTGACCTTGTAGGAGCATTTGGCTTGCAAAGGAGGCCAAGGTGTGGGGAGTGGGCGAGATGAGAAGGAAAGCCACCCTCCTTGCTTCTCACAGAAAAGGGCAGCACAGGCAGCCAAACCTCCTCCCTCTCCTGCAAATGGCCAGCAGGGATGATGTCAGGAAGGGCAGGACCTCTGAACACTCCCTGGCTATCTGCTCAGCCCCCCAACAGTCTTGTCTGGGACCCTTCACCTGGGCCTCCGCTTCCCAGGTGCCATGTATGCCCATTGCCCCTCCCCCTCCCCACCCCCACACTCCTCGAGGCCACCTCTCCCCAGCGCAGAAGGCCTGAGCGCCCGAGTGCCCCCAGTCTGCGCTAACAGTAGAGGGACATTCTGCTCCTGCGCATGGCCTCGCTGATCAGGTACGCAGGGCTCAGCTCCGGCTCCTCCGTCATGATGGCAATGTTCTGCCATTCGCCCGTCTGGCTGGACCTCTTGATGGTGTCCACCACGCACAGGGCATACAGGCAGTCATCGAAGGTGGCAGCCATGGTGAGAGGCCGTCCGTCCCACGTGCGCCGGTCGTCCTGGTCCTGGAAGGCCTGGCGCACGGCCTGCATCATCTTGATAGTGCCGCGCAGGTAGGGCGAGGGGATGTCGCTGAAGGCCTTCTCGGGCAGCAGGGAGTTGCTGACAGGCGTGGCGTCCTGCAGCAGCAGCTCCTGCTCCGGGGCGCTGTTGCGCTGCCCGTACAGGTCTGTGCCCACCGCCAGTAGGCGCCCGGCCGAGCCCACCACGGTCACGTCCTGCTTGAACTCGCCCGGCACATTGAAGTTGAGGGTGACGGTGCAGCACACCCCGCCCTCCAGCACCATCTGGAAGGTGCAGAAGTCGTCGCTGGTGATCTGGCGGATGCCCTTGATGTGGTCGGTCTGCTTCACGAAGGTCTTAAGCAGCCCGTGGACCTTGACGGCCTTCTGGCCGGTGAGGAAGGTGAGCAGGTCGATTATGTAGGTGCCCACGGAGTGCAGGCCACCGCCGCCCATCAAGTCGTCGCAGCTCCAGTTGTACTTCTTGCCCAGCAGGCTGCCGCTGTGCACCTGCACCTCGCACACCAGCAGCTCACCCACGTAGCCCTCCTCGATGAGCTGCTTCATGCGCACGAAGGCTGGCAGGAAGCGCAGCACGTTGCCCATGATGCTCATGAGCTTGGGGTAGTAGTGGGCAGCTGACATCATGCGGAAGGCGTCCAGGGGCGTGGCCGTGCGGTCGCAGATGACGTTCTTGCCAATGCCTGCGGGCGGGAGGAAAAACAGCGGATCAGGGCGCTGGAGGAGAGGGAGCAATAGGGGGCGCTGTCGCCCACAGGCATTAATTCTTGGACCCGGAACCGGACCCGGAACCAGACCCGAGCGGATATCCTTATTACAATTTAAGTATTTTATAACATGTTTTATTTATGCAAAAATAATAGATTCTGTAGATTTCAATATTATCTGTTCAATTGTTAAGTAAGATCTACTTAATTTTAGTATTAAACCATTGGCCTTAATTTCAATATTGATTTATTTTATATTTATTTTATATTATATTTAATAGCCTATATTTTAGAAATATTTTTAAATGTTTTAAAATATTTCAAATATAATATAAAATGCCTCATTTAATATTTTACATATGTAAGTCTAACATTTTATATACAAATGTTACTTGTAAAATACTTATATATTTAAAATATTTAAATATAATATATTTAAATATAAAATATAAGAATTCTATTAAAGTATACAATATAATCTTTTTACATATGAAATGTTTTATTAAAATTATCCTACATATGAAATGTTTTATGTCTTATTTTATATGTAAAATATAATTTTTATTTAAAATGTATTATTAAAAATATCATATGTAGAGAAAAGAACAGGGTCTCGGGCCGGCTGAGTGGCGCGTTGGTTAAGAGTTGGCTTGGGACACCAGCTCTGAGCAGCAGGGCCCTGGTTCAGATCCCACATGAGGGCCAGTGACGCTGGGCCTTCTACAGCTAAGATGGTGAACAACAGCTGGATGTGGAGCTGGGCTGCAGTGAGTCACGGCCAAGGCGTAGGCTGCAGTGAAGCTGCAGTGGGCTGCCATAAGCTACTGTGAGTGGCTGGCAGGTGGTGAGAGTGGCCAAGAGCCGCTGTGAGCGGCCGTCCAATAGCTGGCTACGGATCTGCCTCGCCCGGGAAGAGCACAATGATAATACCAACATGGGCCAGTGAAGCGACGTCCTC